AATAATAATAATAATAATAATAATAATAATAATAATAATAATAATAAACCCTAACATGGATAGGAATGGGAGTTATAGAAGTGATGTATGGAAGCAGCCACACACAGCCAGGTCATATTATTATTGATGAAAAGCAGCAGATTATTGTGAGAATGCAAAAAGGCTGCTTTGTTGGTAAAAGCTGGCTAATTAACCAACACGTGCAGATTATGGTCTCTGATTGTGGGGGGAGGGGGAGTAACAGACAATTTATAGCAAGCCTGCTTACCTAAATTATCTAAAGCAATAAAAACTATTGATTATCTTCTTGTACTTTCCTTATGCGCGTCATTAGACTTCAGTTCCTGTTTAAATACATTTAAAAGTCTCATGTTTTACTATGGTTGAGAACTGTTCATGTTGCTGTGGTATAACATGCAAAATGAAACTATTCAGTTTATTTTAAAAAGTTGCCTTTCCAGACAAATTAAGTAATCAACCTTCCTGAGAATGAAAACTTTCCATCCCAGCTTTAAAAACCTGATAATTTGGGTAGTAAATGTTACAATAAATAAAGAGTGCTGGTAACGCCATCATTGTAGTATTTAGTTGAAGGTTCCAGGCCTTCAATTTTCTTTGGGAAAATCCAAGTTTAACACGTCTCTGCAAATTAATGTTCTAATATCCCCCCGTGATGCTCCAGTTAATTAACATGGAGAGATTCACCTTCCTCCATCAGACACTTCCTGTTCCCTGCAGTCTCAACTTGCTCATGGTGAAAGCTCACACAGTGAATCATTTAAATACTGTTCTCCCTGAATTTAGCTTGCCAACAAAAATCTAAAACAGGTCAACAGGACCAGACACAAAAATGACGGCAGAGCCTTTGACACGTATGTTTTCACTGCAGCTCTTCCATAAATCCAGACAAAAACAAATCAGGAGCAGAAGTGAGTCTAAATCTGATTCCACATCGAGCACTTCCTGCTTCTGGCTGCAAACAGCAACATTCCTGACTTCACACAGCACATGGATGCAACATAGTTAAGCTAAATCGTGTAACACTGCTGTTCCCACAGCTGCTGTTAATCCTTCAGCCCTCTTTCAAGATACTAACCCCTTCATCTTTCTCCAGCTCCAGTCCCATCTCAAGGAGGTTTTCCTCAAACTCCTCCCTCCTGAAGCGCTTGTCATCCTCGTGGTAGTCAGTCCGTTGCTCCTGGGCAACAATCTCCGGGTCCTCCTTCGGCTGCTGGGGCGCTCGACTGCTCCTCATGCTCAGGCTGTGGCGCAGCCGCCGTAGGAAGTTGGTGTCACTAAATTTGGATGACCTCCGCCGGACACCACCGGGCTTCTGAATGCTGTACGTCAGTACATAGTCCACACGGCGCCGTCCGTCAGAAAAGAACGGGCCGAGACGTTGATGCACATCATCCAGAGTCTTCATTGGCTAGAAGCAAAACAAAGAGGAGTAGCAGAGATTACTGAGGGTGTACAGTACTGGGGCTAATGTTGTGATGATATTTTAACCTGTAACAGACTCACAAATATACATTCTTCATTGTGCACCTTACACCCAATATACAAAGTGTTACTCTGCTCGGATTTTATTAATTACCTTCTTCATATTTTCTGTAACTTCTCTAAATGTGATCACAGCTACATGAGGTGACTGGGTTGAGATGGGTCCAACAAAAGTCAAGTCAAATTTATTTATAAAGCACGTTTAAAAACAGCAGCTGCTACCAAAGTGCTTAACAATAAAAATCAATGGCAGTAATTTTATGAAAAAATAGTGACAAGAAAAACATAAAAAGACAAAACTCTGAAATATTAAATCAAATCACACTGGGTTAAACGTCAGTGAAAACGGATGCGTTTTTAAAAGAGATTTAAAAACAGGAAGTGAAGTGGCCTGTCTAATGTTGGGGGGGCAGATTGTTACAGAGTTTAGGGCCCACGATTGAAAAAACCCGATCTCCTCTGAGCTTCATCCTGGTTTTTGGTACAACTAGAAGCAGCTGATCAGATGATCTCAGCACAGTAGGTCAGAGAGACATGAGGGTACAAGGCCGTTTAGGCCCTTAAAGGTCAACAGGAGAACTTTAAAATCAGTTCGGATAAGTACAGGGAGCCAGTGAAGGGAGGACAAAACTGGTGAAATATGCTCAAACCTACGAGTTCCTGTTAAGAGCCGAGCTGGAGACGTGAAAGGGAGACCTGACTGACCCCAACATAGAGCACGTCAAAGCAGTCCTGTCAGGTTGTAGTGAAGGCATGGACTAGTTCTTCAAGGTCGGACCTGGTCGAAGCTGACTTAAGCTTAGCTACCTGCCTTAACTGGAAGAAACTTTTGTGTAGAACAGAGTTAATCTGTTTATTAAACTTAAAACCCTCCAGAGATTTGTAACAGGCTGCTTAAGATGTGACTCGAGAGTCAATATTTACAGGAACACAAGACAGCAGTGTATATTATATATATATTATAATGTATTTACTTCAGTCTGAACTTTATTTTCATATAAAGCTCATTCAGTTAGCTGACTCGGAAACAGGAAGCAGGTAGGCGGAGCTCCAAGACCAGCTGCAGCTCCCTCTTTCTGGACCACCAGTTGGCCCCACCAGCACTGGGTGCCATTGAGAAAACATGGACATTTGTTGGAAACTAAAGGGACCACAGTGAATGAGTCAAAGTGCCTCAGGTTAAAGTTGAAAGTGAGTCTAATCCTCCTTCCTGCACTATATTTAGGACCACTTTAACTTT